GATAGATAGATAGATAGATAGATAGATAGATAGATAGATAGATAGATAGATAGATAGAGGAGCTGCTAAAGGAGGAGAACCTGTGGCTTAGTGGCTAACACAACTGCCTAATATGCAATACAGCACAGGTTCAAATCCCAGTAAGGGTATGGCTAGCTGATGAGAGCTAAATAGCTTGAAATAGATGTATACTAGTCTCCCTTTATTTATTTATCAGCACAATTGCAACACACAGACACACAGACACACAAACACAGACAGACAGATAGATAGATATCTGCTACCAACTAATATTATAGACATTTACAGCCCAAATATAGTAGTTTAACACACAGTTAAAGTATGTATGAATCACATTTGACTTTTCTAGTCCTATGAGTGAATCCTTACAGCTAGATGAATGGAAAGTTTCTACCCAGTGTAAGGCTTCATAGTTTGTATTCTTCTTCATTCTGTTCCTGGGATCTCTTTTACAGTAGTGTAATAATAATTATTTTTAAATTTTTTATAAATGCTATAAGCTTGTTTGTATTTCAAAGTATGGTTTGAAAATTAATAAAGACATTAAAAGGATAAAATATCAGTTATCAATTTCATAAAATATTTTACTTGTTTTCAGGTATCTGGGGAAGTGCATTTGCTATACTGTTCAACAGAGTGCTTGGGGTATCTAACAATCAAAATAAAGGACCCACAATGGAAGAAGAACTAGGTATTGTAATAAAAGTTGGAGCCTGCGTCTGTGTTGATATTTCTGTTTAAAAATAATTACACAAATGTAAAATTGGCAGGCTGAAAAGTAAAGTCCCAGCCTCCAAAAGCATCTATTTCCCAGGTCACCTTTCAGTTACAATGTAAATGCTTTGGTTGGAAATGTCCTACTTGTCGATTAAAAAAGAGAAAAGTAAATAGAAATGGCACAGAATACCTTTAGTGCACCTTGACCCGCAGGGATGGAATCTAGAGGTGATGGAGATGTCTAACTGTTAAAGAAGTACTTTGCAACTGTCCATGTGTCCCATGACAGCCAGATTGTGAATGATAAGTTGTTCTCAGAGGTTTTACAGCTAGTAGAAAGAATGTTCACTGTTGTGGCCCAGCAGGAGCCGTTGGAGCTGCCACCAGATTCCGACAGCGAGGGGCCCTATGAGTC